AAAACTAAAGCAGAAAGAAATAGAAACTTTGAACAAATCAGTTACCGGCAAGGAAATTGAATCAGTAATCAAAAAACTCCCAAAAACAAAAGTCTGGGACCAGATGGCTTCATGGGTGAATTCTACCAAATATTTAAAGAAAAGTTAACACCTATTCTTCTCAAACTATTCCATAAAATAGAAGAGGAAGAGAAACTTCCAAATTCATTCTACAAGGCCAGCATTACCGTGATACCAAAACTAGATAAAGACACCACAAAAAAAGAAAACTACAAAGCCAATATCTCTGATGAAAACAGATACAAAAATCCTCAACAAAATATTAGCAAACTGAATCCAACAATATATTTTAAAAATCACTACCATGAGGGGCGCCTGGGTGGCTCAGTCTTTAAGTGTCTGCCTTCAGCTCAGGTCATGATCCCAGGGTCCTGGGATCAAGCCCCACATCGGGCTCCCTGCTCGGAGGGAAGCCTGCTTCTCCCTCTCCCACTCCCCCTGCTTATGTTCCTGCTCTCGCTATCTCTCTCTCTGGGAAATAAATAAATAAATAAGTAAATAAATAAATAAATAAATAAATAAATAAATAAATAAAATCTTTAAAAAAAAAATCACTACCATGATAAAGTGGAATTTATTCCTGGATTACAAGGATGGTTCAATATTTGCAAATCAATATGTGATACACATCAACAAGAGAAAGAATAAAAACCATATGGTCATTTCAATAGATGCAGAAAAAGCATTTGACAAATAACAACATCCATTCATGAAAAAAAAAAAAAGTATGTTGAGAGGGAACATACCTCAACATAATAAAGGCTACCTATGAAAAACCCACAGCTAACATCATACTCAATGGTAAAAAACTGAGAGGTTTTCCCCTAAAATCAGGAACAAGACAAGGATGTCCACTGTCACTATTTTATTCAAAATAGTACTGAAGTCTTAGCCACAGCAATCTGTCAAGAAAACAAAAGCCATCCAAATTGATAAGGAAGAAGTAAAACTTTCGCTATTTGCAGATGACATGATACTACATATAGAAAACCCAAAGACTCCACCAAAAAAACTACCAGAACTGATAGATAAATTCAGTAAGGTCACAGGATACCAAATCAATATACATAAATCCATTGCATTTCTAAACACTAACAATGAAGTAGTAGAAAGAGATTTAAGAAAACAATCCCATTTATAATTGCACCAAAAATAATAAGCTACCTAGGAATAAACTTAACCAAGGAAATGAAAGACCTATATCTGAAAACCATAAAACACTGATGAAAGAAATTGAAGATGACACAGACAAATGGAAAGATATTCCATGCTCATGAATTGGAAGAACAAATATCATTAAAATGTCCCTACTACCCAGAGCAATCCACAGAGTTAATGCAATTCCTATCAAAATACCAACAGCATTTCTCACAGAACTAGAACAAATAATACTAACATTCGTATGGAACCACAAAAGACCCTGAATCTTGAAAAAGAAGAACAAAACTGGAGGTATCACAAGCCCAGATTTCAGGATAAACTACAAAGCTCTAGTAATCAAAACATTATGGTAGGCACAAAAATAGACACATAGATTAACAGAACAGAATAGAGAGCCCAGAAATAAACCCACAATTATATAGTCAATTAATCCTGGACAAGGGAGGCAAGTATATGCAAAGGGAAAAAGTCTCTTCAACAAATGGTATTGGAAAAATTGGATGGCTACATGCAAAAGAATGAAACTGGACCACTTTCTTACACCATACACAAAAATTAACTCAAAATGGATTAAAGACCTAAATTTGAGACTTGAAACCATAAAAATCCTAGGAGAGAGCACAGACAGTAACTTCTCTGACATTGGCCATAGCAATATTTTTCAAGCTATGTCTCCTGAGGCAAGAGAAACAAAAACAAAAATAAACTAACGGCGGGACTACATCAAAATAAAAACTTCTGCACAGAAAAAGAAACAACCAATAAAACTAAAAGATAACCTATAGAATGGGCAAAGATATTTGCAAATGACATACCTGATAAAGGGTTAATATCCAAAATATATAAAGAACTTATACAATTCAACACCAAAAAAACAAATAATCCAATTAAAAAGTGGGCAGAAGACATGAATAGACATTTCTCCAAAGACATACAGATGGCCAACAGACACATGAAAAGATGCTCAACATCACTCATCATCAGGGAAATGCAAATTAAAACCACAATGAGCTATCCCCTCACACCTGTCAGAATGGCTAAAATCAAAAACACAAGAAACAACAAGTTTTTACAAGGATGCGGAGAAAAAGGAACCCTCTAGCACTATTGATGGGAATGCAAACTAGTGCAGCCACTATGGAAGAAGTACGGAGGTTCCTCAAAAAATTAAAAATAGAATTACCATATGATCTAGTAATTCCACTACTGGGTATTTACCCCCAAAATACAGAAACACTAGTTCAAAAAGATATATGCACCCCTATGTTTATTGCAAAATTATTTAAAATTATGGAAGCATCCCAAGTGTCCATCGATAGATGGATGGATAAAGAAGATGTGGTGTATATGTATACAGTGAAATATTATTCAGCCATAAAAAAGAATGAAATCTTGCCATTGGCAACAACATGTTGGAGCTAGAGAGTATAAACCTAAGTCAAGTAAGTCAGAGAAAGACAAATACCAAGTGATTTCACTCATATGTGGAATTTAAGAAACAAAACAACCAAACAAAGAAAAAAAGAGACAAACCAAAAAACAGACTCTAAACTATAGAGAACAGACTGATAATTACCAGAGGGGAGGGGGGTGGGGGGGTGGATGAAACAGGTGAAAAGGAGTAAAGAGTACACTTATCATGAGTCTGAGTAATGTATAGAATTGTTGAATCACTGTATTGTATCCCTAAAGCTAATTTAACGCTGTATGTTAACTATACTGGAATTAAAAAAAAAAAAAAAAAAAAAACTTTCAGCAAATTGGAGAAGAGAGGTTTTCAACTTGATAAAAAAAAGATCTATGGAAAACCTACAGCTAATATCATTTAATGGTGATAAACAGAATGCTCTCCCCCTAAGAACAAGAAGGCAAGGCTGCCTGTTCTTAATACTTCCCATCATTATATTGGAGGTTCTAGCCAGGGCAATTTAGGCAAAGAAAAGAAGCAAAGGGCACCCAGCCTTTATTCACAGATGATGTGATCTCCTATGTAGAAAATCTAATGGAATTTACCCCCAAAAAAGCTATTAGAATCAATAAGTAAGTTTGCAAAGTTACAGGATACACGATCAATAAACCAAAATCAATTATATTTCTAGATACCAGCAATGATCAAACAGAAGTTGAAAATACCATTTACAGTAGCATAACCAAATATGAAATACTTAGGGAAAAAATCTGACAAAAGATGTAAGAGACCTAAACACTGAAACTACAAAACATTGCTAAAAAATTTAAAGAAGACCTAAAAAAAATGGAGAGATACACTGTGCTCATGAGTTGGTTGATTCAATAAGGCATTAATTTTTCCCAAAATTTTTTATAGATTCAATGCAATCCCAATCAAAATACCAGCAGCATTTTTTATAGAAATTGACAAGCTGGTTCTAAAATTCATATTGAAATACAACAGATCTAGAAGAGCTGAACAAATATGTAAGAGAAGAAAGAAATGGGAGGACTAACACTGACTAATTTTAAGACTTACTATATAGTTATCAAGATAAGCATTGCTGTAAAGACAGACAAATAAATCACTGAAACAAAAAGGTAGAAGCTAGCAATGGTACAAAGGCAATTCAGTGGAGGAAATGATACAGGACCAATGGCTCTGTATTTGCAAGAACATGAACTTCATTTACAAAATTAACTCAAAATGAATCATGGATCAAAATATAAACACTAAAACTATAAAACTTCTAGAAGAAAACATAGGATAAAATCTTAGTGACCTTAGATTAGGCAAAGATTTTTTAGGTATGACACCAAAGGTACAATCTGTAAAAGAAAAATTGATAAATTGGACTTCATCAAAATTTCTGCTCTTTGAAGATGCTGTTAAAAGAATAACAGGTAAACCACAGACTGAAAGACAGTATCTTCAAATCATGTACCTGCTAAGGACATGTGTTTGGAATACACAAAGAGCTCTCAAAACTAAATAAGAAAACAAACAACCTAACCAAAAAGAGGCAAAAGAATTGAAAAAACACTTCACCAAAGAATACATATGGAGAGCAAATAGTCACAAGAAGATTTTCAACATCATTAATCATTAGGTAAGTGCAAATTAAAACCACAGTAAGATATCACTACACAGCTATTTAAATTGCTAAAGTAAAAAAGACTGCCTATACCAAGGATTGCCAGTGGGATTGTAAAATAGTGCAACCACTTTGTGTAAAGAGCTTGTTATTTTTTTTAAAGGTAAATATGTAGCTACCAAATGTTCCAGCCTTTTCAATTCTAAATAGTCACTCAAGAGAATGAAAGCATATCTCTATACAAAGGCTTATAGATAAATGTTCATAACAAATTTATTTGTAATAGCCAAAAACTAAATTACTCAAATGTCCATCAACATGTGAATGAATAAACAAATTGTGGTATATCCACAAAATGGAATACTCCTCAGTAATTAAAAAAAAAGGACTGTTGATAGATGCAACATACATAAATCTCAACATAATTATGCTGAGTGAAAGTTGAAAGATTTCTTATTTACATAAAATCCTAGAAAATGCAAACTAACCTATAGTGACAGAAAGCAGATCAATGATTGCCTTGTATGATAGGCAGTCTCTAAATGGCTCCCTGTGATTGCTGCATCCTAGTATTTACACCCTTGTGTAATTCCTTCCCCTAGAGAATAGGCTAGACCTAGTGACTCACTATAAATGAACAAAATATGGCAAAAATGATGAGATTTCACTTCTGAGATTAGGTTATAAAGAGATGGTAACTTCCAGCTTGCTTACTTTCTCTACCATGCTCTCTGTCTCTCTCTCTCTGTCTCTCTCTCTCTCTCTGCCTCTCTCTCTCTCTCTCTCTCATGAAATCAGCTGCCATGTTGAGCTGCCCTAAGGAGAGGACAAGGAACTCAGTGAGGCCTCCAGACAAGAGGCAAGGAACTCAGTGAGGCCTCCAGACAAGAGCTAATAAGAATCTGAAGTCTCTGGTTCAACAGCTTATGAGGAACTGAATCCTGCCAAAACCATGTAAGTGAGCTTGGATGTGGATCTTCCCCTGGTCCAGCTGTCAGATGAGACCACAGCCCTGGACAACACATTGGTTACAACCTTGGGAGAGACCTTTTGGCAGAGGCACTCAGGCAAGTTGTGCCCAGATTCCTGACCTCCAGAAAATGAGAGATGATAAATTGTTGTTTTAAGCTGGTTAGTGGTAGGGTTATTTGTTACACAACAATAAATAACTAATACATTTGTAGCTTGGGGGTGGAGGGCAGGTGTGAGAGGCAGGAGAGGAGGATTGCAAATGGGCACAAAGAAACTTTGAGGAGTGATGGATACGTTCATTATCTTAAGTGTTATGATGGTTTCATGGATGTATAAATATGTCAAAACTTGTTAATTTATACACTTCCAAAATGTGCCATTCATTATATGCAAATTAAATTTCAATGAAGCTGTTTTTTTTTAAAGGTTGCTGTGAGGTCAACCAAGAAGAGGACTAAGAATTCATCAGTGGATTTGGGTAACATGGAAATCATCAATTTAGGACAACTTACCATCTGGATTTACCCAGGACTGAGGTGGTTCCTGGCATGTGGGACTTTCCGTTTTAAAATCTGAGAAAGTTCCAGACATATAGAGAGTTGATTCCCCTACTGATAACGCTAACAAGAATGATAGGGGCACCCATTATGGAAGTCACTGCCAACCTTGTCGAAGGCTGTCTCAGTGAAATGATGGGGACAGAAGGCTCTTGGAATAGTTCAGGAGTGATGGCAGAAGAACCAGGGAAACTGATATAGACAACTCTTTTGAGGAGTTTTGTTGCAGCAGCAAGGAGGGAATTGTGTAGCCGCAGCAGAAGCTGTAAGTCAAGGGAGAGGTAAGTTCTAAGGTGGGAGTCACTGCAGCCTGTTTGTGTGCTAATGGAAGTCCATACTCTAGTGGAGAGGAAACTTTTGGTGATACTGCACCACACAGGAAAGAGACCCTTGCCAGAGAAATGCCTTCCAGTAGGTGAGACTTGCTTGTTAAAGCAGTTTCCACAAGTGGCCTGAGGCTCCCTGCCAGGCCACAGGGGCTCCCCCAATGGGCCAGGGTGACCCAAGAATGCAAAGTCTTTCTTCAATTCCTACAGTCAAGTGACTCATGCTTCTTTCTATAGATTCTCATATTTTGGAACAACTAAGAGTTACTTACTAGTAACCTAGTGAGTGAGTCAGGGAAGTTTGGTAAAAAGTGCTATTCATAAACTGAAATGACCCAGGACTCTGACTGTGTCCTTTACTAAGAAGTCTGGCTGCCATGCAACACTTAGCAATGTTATCAAACTCTTCCCCTGCATGCACACTTGCAGATGGTTAGAATTTCACAATTTTCGGAAGGATGTGTGGTCAGTACATCAGTGTTACCCTGAACTGACTGTGTTTTTTCATTACTGATGGCCTCGCTATTTTTATTACAAAGGTCTCTTTTAGTACAGCTTTAACATTATCCACTTAGCTTTTTGTGGGTTGTTAGGTTAATTTCACAGTCTATAGTGATCCAGATTTGCATCAATAATTTTTAACTTATAATTTTCCTATAATAGGCTCCAAGACCACAGAAGTTTGGTGTTCAGATATGAATCACTCCCATCCCTATTGTTTATGGAGGAACATGTCATGTGTGAAGGCTGCTTGTGAATATGGGCTATGTTACTAAGTAAAATAAAACTGAGTTATTTTTCAGTTTTTAGGAAATTGTTTATAGTAGAAAAATCTATTAGGCATGTTCACATTTTTCTAAAGTAACTAAAAAGTGAATCATTTCTATTGCTAGCAACATAATAAATTCAACTTGTTTTATTTCTTCCTTTTCTTGAGTTTTTTTCCCTAATGGCAACTCGAGGGCAAGGGAGAGCACAAAGCTATGTATCCTGCCTGTGGATGTCACAATCGAAAGGTTCAGGAGCCCCAGTTATAGAGGGCTTTTTCAGGGCTTCTCAGGACAGGCCTTTGTGCCAGCACAGGCAGAGTTTACAGCTCCCCAAACCATGCCAGCTATAATTCCAAGCTGGCCCCCATGAGCATCCACAGGTCATTCATTCTTCTTAAGGACCAGCCCAGAGAACACTGGCTTTGCTGCACAGAAGCAACATCCCACTTTTCTGGACTGTGTCTTCCCTTTTTTTTCTTTTCTCCTTTGGCTTCTCTCTCTTCCTTGCCCCCAAGATTTACTGTTCTAACTATAGCTTCTAACAAGTGTGCAGCTAGAGTGAGGAGGCTGTGGTCCAGCTGTCTTCAGACACATGGATATTCTCCAACCATCTTGCTGGAATCATGGGGCCCTGAGCACACTCACTGAGTGAGGATAGCTTCTCCTGAGTCATGGCTGGGGGAGGGGCAAAGACAGGGGAAGCTTCTCACTCCCACAGCAAAGCTGAGCCTAAGAGAGCATGCAAGCTATCCTCAGATCTGGGAGGACTGCTCTGGTTCAACAGGAAATCGGGAATTAGGTCCTATTTTCTCATTCTTGGCAGAGACTGCCAGAAGTCTACTCAATATCTATTCCCTCCTCCTTCTTCTTATTAATGTAACTCTCATTTGAGCCTCATTTGGCTCAGAGTAAGCACCCACCACAAGCGAGCTACTGCTGTGTCATTTAATCCCTGCAACAACTCATTGCACAGAAGAGCTCATACTTGTGCTCAGTGATTTACCTGAGATCTCACACCCAACAGGTGGCAGATCCGGGATTCAAACCCAAGTCTGTCTGATTTAGAGATTTATCCTCTTCCTCTCCACCTCTTGTCTCCCTAAGAAGAAAGAATCCACACACAGAGATGGGAGTTTTAGAAAGCACCTCTGAGACCCAGGCTTATCTCTAGCAATAAGATCACCACACAGAGCAGGTGGCAGGCTCTCCCTAAGGCTGCCCAAAGTTTCATTCCCCTCTCCCAGTGAGTGCATGGCCCAGAGTTTGGTGCATAGTACAGGCCCAATAGGGAAGGAAGAAATGGAAGAGAGGAGAGATGAAGGGAAAATAGGAGAGAGAGAGAGAGACAGAAAGAAGATATTAAACACTCATGTCCTCAGCTACCTGCCCCAGCCCCAGGCTGCAGGCAAAAGGGCTTTATCATTTAGAACTTGGATTCAGTCAACAATAACAGAGATAGAACTTAAATGTGTAAGAGTTTATTTTTATTTTCCCCCCCACAACCACAGAGATAGGTAGTGGTATTGTATTAGTGGTTCAAAGATATCAGATCTGCAGTCTTTTCTCTTGGCCTTTCCCTCATGGTCACAAAATGGCTGCTGCAGCTCTAGTCATCATGATTTAGGCAGGAAGAAAGGAAAGCAAAAATTTCTTAGAAACCTTTCATTTATGTCTTATTGGCCAGAACTAGGCTGGGAAATGTAAGGTTTTCGTTTCATTTTGTTTTTAGGGAGGTTTTTTTGTTCTGTCATCCCCTTCCCTGCCTTCTTCTTTACTTCTCAATCCCAGGGAATGATATCTAAAGTACAAAGGAGGCTCAGCTCACAGAGGTTATCTCAGGAGAAAGGACAAAATAGGTCCTGCTGAAATTATGAAGACTTCTAGAAAATGTATGCAAACCCCAGTTGTAGATTTGACTTCCAGGGCACAGGTCTACCCCCACTGACCCACTGGACTTTCTATGTTTCTGGGCCCCAGAATGCACAAAGAGGGCAGGAATTAACTACAATCATCAAGGAACAAATCCTAAATCAGTTGGGATGCTTTCAGCTACAAGTAACAGGAAGCCTCAACTCAGAGTAGCTTTAGCATGTAAGGGAGTCCAGAGATGGGAAGACAGGACTCCAGGCAGGTACTTCCATACTCCAACTTTTCTCTCTGTGGTTTTCTGTGAACTGCCCCTCTCTATGTGTTCGCCAGTAACAAGATGGCCACAGAAGCTTCCATGCATCACAGCTGGGTGAAGAAGAGAAACCATCTCTTCCTAGGGCTATTTATTAAAAGTGAGGAAACCTTTCCCAAAAGTTCCCCTGCAGACATCCCCTCTTGTCCCATTGTGGCCTCTCCACGTGGCCAGGGCTTCCTCATACCATAGAGTCTGCATTCCAAGGGCAAGTGCTGAGAGAAAGAGAGAGAGAGAGATGGAGAGAAAGAGGCAGAGACAGAGAAAGAGATAGGGAGAAACCAGATGGAAGTCGTATCTCCTTTCATGACCCAGTCTCAGCCATGTAGTGTTGCTTCTATCATATTCTATCCCTTGAAGCATCCACAAGGTCCCACCCAGCTTCAAGGAGAGGGGAAATGTAATCTAACTTACTGGGGCAGTGGCAAGTTCTGGAAAAGCACATGAGAACTGATTGACCATGGCCCCTCTCAGAAAATACAAAGTGCTACATCAGGACATCCAGTCAGTTTTTGTGCAGTACCCCCTGCACCACCACCCTCCACTGCCTCCTGCTCTTATCCATATCCAGGTTTTACCCAGCAGGATCTGAACCACCTGCAGAACCCCGCTGCAAGCTTGCTGGGAAATGTTGTTTATAGCAGTTGGAATGGGAGGTGGATGAGACAGCTTACAGCATCCACCAAGGCTGAGAAAAAAGAAAGAGGGAGTAAATAAATGACTAGGAAGTGGCCAACAGGGTCAGCTACAGATCCTTACCTTTTCTCATTTCTACTTGGTAACTTTTCCTGTAACATTCAACAAATATTTATTGGGTATCTCCCATGTTCCAGGCAACTGTACTTTAAACAAGACAGATAAGCATTTTAGAATCTATGGAAGACAATCTTAAACAAAGAATTTTTTTAAGATTTTATTTATTTATTTGAGAGAGAGAGAGAGCACACCCACGTGCACGCCCATGACAGGGGGGAGGGGCAGAGGGAGAGAATCCCAAGCAGACTCACTGCTTATCCTAGAGCCCAATGTGGGGCTTGATCTCATGACCCCAAGATCATGACCTGAACCAAAATCAAGAGTCAGTCGCTTAACTGACTGAGCCACCCAGGCGCCCTTAAACAAAGAATTATTATAAATAATTATGTATTTGCGATCATAATGCAGGCTTTAAAAAGAAGTGGCATATTCTGTACATCCTATTCCCACATGTCTATCTTATTAACCAGCCTGATAGGAAACTTCAGGCACTGGGGACTAGCCTGAGTCTTCCTCCATAGACCTCTGCAGTCATCCCAGGACAAAGCTCTTTTAGGTGCTCGGGTATTACTCAGAGTAGTAACTGCTCAGAGTTACATAGTAGAGATTAGTAAAGGTAGGTACGTGTTCAAATAAATGCAGAATTCTGAAGCAGGCTAGTATCAACAATATCTGGATAAACTTGGCATTAACTGAAGCAAAATGGAGACGTTGACCTGGAGATGAGAAAAGTTCAGTTCCAGAAACACTCCAGGTACACAGACAACAGTAGGCAGTGTGGTCTCGCTGGAGACAGAAATGTGAAATTCCAGAGCCCGGCGCACCTCAACCATTGTTTCAGGAGAGGTAGATGTTAGAGTCCTCAACATCAGCCGTGGCTGGAACTTTCGCTCCCAAGGAAAACCTGCCATTCATTCCAGGAAAATGTGTGTGCTGACAAGGGGATGGGTGACCATGATCAGACCGAGTGTCTGGAAACAATTACACCCATATTGATTGACACCAAAGGCGCTCTTGTGACCTGTGGTTCAGTGACCCCAGTAAGTTTGTGTTTTAGTCATGTTAAAATATGCTCCCCATTATGGGCTAACCACACAGGGCTCTTTTAGTGGCTAAAGAAAGTGATGCCTTGGTAATGCTGTAATATATATTAAATCATACATTATTTCCTCAATTAACAGAATGGCTGTGAGGGAATAAATATTTCAGCCTCACACCCATTCTTTTCCTCTCTGATGTTTTCTTCTTAAGAAGCAAACACACAGCTTCATTACCAACAAGCTCAGAATAAATTAATTGGAGCTGAAATCCGTGAAATTAGATTCAGTTTTCTAATTAGCTGGAGAGTTCGCAGATACGAGGAGGTCTTTATCACGGGCTCTCTTCTTCTCTGGAAGGGGATGGCCATTTGTGATCTCAGAAAATTAAACCCTCCCCTCTTACGTTCTACAAAGGGATTTCTGATTGAAGTGTAAATGTCCTTTGGCCACCTGGAAGATCATTTTGACGTTGTGAATCTTGAGCAAATTCCTCATTAATTCCACCCCCTGGTTGGGAGATTGTGTGATGCGGCAATTTCCATTTTCAAAGGAATTGTCTTTTTTACTAATAACGTCCTCGGCTTAGCTGGCACCCTCAATAGAGTTCAAAGTGATGTTGAAACTTTCCTTCTTTAATTCCCCACAGCCCAGACAGAGGAGATAGAGGCCAGGAGAGAAAGCAACTGCTTTCCTGACAAGTGAAGGAGGCCGAGGTCAGGGAGCAATGGGGCCCAGGGAGACATGGAACAAAGTTCTCAAGATGACCCCACAGGTCAGTGGCAGCCCCAGAGCATCCCGACTCTTATTCCTGACTCCTAGCTAACCAACCATCCCAATTATCACCCAAGAGTCTAAAATTACCAAACAGACGCAGGGGGCTCTGAGTGAGGACTTTGGAGCCCTGACACTGCCTCATCTAATGATCTGCTAAGTGTCTTAGAAGGGCAAATTGGCCCGATGAAGGAAAGAGCTCCCTGTCCACAGCCGCTAGATCCCTACCTATCTGGAATTCCTTCACTCATGCATGCATTCAGCTATTGAACACATTTTTACTGTGCACCTATGTGCCAGATACTATTCTAGGCACTGGGGTTATAGAAATGAACAAAATGAACAAAAATGCTTCTTTTCACAGAAATTATTCTAGTGGGGAGGACAAAAAATAAGATAA